AAGAAAGGAAGTAAAGAAGGAAGACAGGGAAGAATTAAAAAGTAAAGAAGCTATGACGTATAAAAGAAACAAGGACTATAAAGAAATAAAGAAACACGGACCATGAAGAAAGAAAGAAACATGCACCTTGGAGAAAGAAAGAAAAAAGTACTATGAAGAAAGAAAGAAAGAAAAAAAAGAGAAGTACTATGAAGAAAAATAGAAACAAGTAGTATGACGTATAAAAGAAACAAGGACCATAAAGAAATAAAGAAACACGGACCATAATGAAACACGCACCATGGAGAAAGAAAGAAAAAAGTACCAGGAAGAAAGAAAGAAAGAAAGAAAGAAAGAAAGAAAGAAAGAAAAAATGAAGAAAGAAAGAAACAAGGACGATGAAAAAAGAAAGAAACAAGTAGTATGAAGTATAAAAGAAACAAGGACCAGAAAGAAATAAAGAAACACGGACCAGGAAGAAATAAAGAAGCACGCACCTTGAAGAAAGAAAGAAAGAAAGAAAGAAAGAAAGAAAGAAAGAATGAACGAAAGAAAGAAAGAAGTACTATGAAGAAAGAAAGAAAGAAAGAATGAAGATAAAGAAAAAAAGAAAAAGTAGTACGATGTATAAAAGAAACAAGGAACATAAAGAAATAAAGAAACACTGATCATGAAGAAAGAAAGAAACACGCAACTTGAAGAAAGAAAGAAAGAAAAAAGGACGATGAAGAAAGAAAGAAAAATGGAAGAAAGAAAGAAAAATAGACTAAAGAATAAGAAGAAACACAGAAAAAAAGACTAATGATTAAAAAAGAAAAACTAAGAAGAATGAAAGAAAATGCACAAAAAAAAGGAAAAAGAAAAAAAGAAAAATAGGTTAGAAGAAAGAAAGGAAAATGGTTTACGTAGAAGAAAAGGGCTTTGAAAAATGAAAGAAAAATGATTAAGAAGAAAGAAATAGAAACGGTTTAAGAATAAAAGAAGTAAAATAACTACGAAGAAAGAAATGAAATAAGTCCCCCCCCAAAGAAACGAAATAAGACCCCCCCCAAAAAAAGAAAGGAAATAAGTTTATGAAGCGTCGATGAAAAGAAGAGACAAGAAGAAAAACAAAATGAAAAAAACCGCCTCAAGGGAAGAGGAGAGATAATTAAGAAATATACACAAAACAAAGAAAAAGAAAAAAAATGTTAGGTTAGTGGCGTTTGGTACTTCAATGATATACCAACATTAATGGCTTACTTAATGTGGAATATCAATCTCATAAGAAAACGTCAGAATAATTAATATTAAATTATTAATTTAATATTTATTAATATTATTTATATACTATATATTTATTAATTAATAATTAACGATACACCAACATTAATGGGTTACTTAATGTCAAATATTAATCTCATAGGAAAAAGGTTAGAATAATTAAAAGAATGGTCGGCTTCGGTTTGGCTTATACTAGAGTCAAGAAGACAGAGAGCCTTGTATTCTAACAAAATAAACAAAAAAAACGAAACATATGTCCAGTTTGCAATACATTCTAAAATTCGGTTTACTCTAAGCTCAAAGGCATATACATAGATATACTTGACAGAAGAGAAAAAAGAGATTGCTACGGCTTGCATAAAAGTAAAAAAAAAAATAGACATAGATCCTATTCTTTTTACAGTCAAGAATGTAGATATTGACCGGGTTTAACTTTAGGTAGGTATAATTGAGAGAAGAGAAAAAAAGAGATTGTTACGGTTTGCATAAGAGTAAAGAAAAAATGTTAGACATAGATCCTATTCTTCTTACAGTCAAGAATGTAGATATTATCCGGGTTTAACTTTAAAGGTCAATTTTACACGATGCTCAAAAATAGTGAGGCACAGAACCAGCTTAAACCATAGTAAAGAATGTAGATATCGACTCGGTTTACAGTAGATTCCGAAAGTTAGGCGTAGGACATGTTTAAAATACAGTAAAAAAAAAAAAAGAATCGTTTTACTTTAGAAGTCAACTAATAGATATTGGTCCTATTTCTACGAGAGTGAAAACTATACACATAGGTCCATTTTGAACAAGAAAAATAATAGATATATATCCGGTTAATTTCGAGTGAAAAGGGAAGACCGAGGTCGATCATAGCCGAAATGCTAGACATAGACTCTTGCGTAAAGTAATTGAAACAAAACGAATAATCCCGTTATTATTATTTTTATTTTCATATTTTTCCAATGAAGCATGTCCATTCAACAAAGTCTTTTCTTGTAGATTGACCAAAGGTTTTAGATTAGATTTAAATCACTAGAGTTTCCGGGCCAGTCTATAGTACTTTGATTTGCTCACTAGTAAGGCTTGCCAGTGTTGTCGTGCAGCGTTATAATTTCAGTACGCTACCTTGTAGTAACATCCATCGCAGGCAATGGCCATAGGACAACTAATCGATAGTCGAGACAATAATGTCTGGGCATGATAAAACTCTGATGCAATCACAGATGACGCAATATTTTTGAAACTCAAACAAATTTCATCATACACCCCGAAAATAGATTCATATTACTGCACACCATTACAAATGACCTAATCTAAGAAAAAAATAGAAATTGATTACACCTTGTCATTCCAGTCTGTCTAAAACTGACCGTATGATGAAAGGAAGGAAACTAAAGCGGTTGTTTCAATTAATTTGCACACGAGTGTAGATTTGTTTTGCACTAATGCCAATGGCAATCAAAAACATGTCCAGATCATACTGGTTTCTACAGGAAGACAGAATTTTACATTAGAGTGAAAAAAATATACATAAGTCGAATTTATAATAGTCTCAAAAAAGTAGGCAGATGTTCTGTTAACACTAAAGATAAAATGGAGATATCTGTAGAGGTTGCACTTGAGTCAAAGGGGTAGACATTGATTAGGTTGGCACTCAAAAAGATAAAAAAAAATCCAATTTTAAGTAGAATCAAATCACTGCTATAGGTTCCTTTTATCCAGCATTCAAAATTATTTACACAGGTGAATTTTTTTACTAACTTAACCTTAGAACACTAACCATGGATATATAGTACCCAGCGCAAATTTTCCTATTTTTAATTACAATTTTCAGTACCTGATTTTCTTAACTAAATATGTTTTTCAGTTCCTATTAATGTTAACTCAAAGTACAAAGTTTTAACTGCCTGCATGTAAAATATTTCAAATAAAGATTTATATTTCATATTTATTTTGATATTTTCAAAATCGGGTATGATATACCCATGGTTAGTAGTGGTGTAACTTTTAATTGATGGTTAGTGTTCTAGGGTTAGTAAAGCTATACCTTTGATGTGTTTACATTAGAGTGAAAGTGCGTTAGAACAGCGAAGAAAGCCTTCTAAAAGCCGAGCAAAATATTGAAAAACAGAAAAAATGTCGTTAGAAACAAAGAGAACATTCAACTATTATGAACGCTGAACAATCTCTTCACGGATGAAGAGGAGACTTGAAATGGCAGAAATTTGGTTCTACAGAAGGATGCAGAGAATACCATTAACCAAACATGTGAGCAAGGATGAAGTTTTAGAGACAATGACAACAAGAAGGACACTTATTCTTAACACTATGAAGAGACAGTTGAACTTTCTGTGTCATTATGTGAAGAAAGAGCGCTTAGGAAATTTGATACAAACTGGACAGCGACTACGTATGAGAAACAGAGGAAAGCAATGTATAACTTCCCTGGCGAGATTGAGCGAATAGATGGCTGGGCAAGTTTTGGGAGAGATGGTAAAAAGGACAAAAGTTATTAAGAGCTATAAAAGACATGAAATTGTGGAGAGTCATGATCGCCTATGACCTGGGTTGCACGGCACCTACAAGAAGAAAAGTGAACGTAGGCCCGGTTTAAAAGAGTGACAGAACTAAATTCAATTCGGAACCTCAAAAGGATAATTTGAAGTTCAAGCCCTGCGCTCAGTTTCTAATACAAAATTCCCCGCATAGGTCCATTTAGGTGTAAATATACATGCTTAATTCGAAAATAACAAAGTAATTTTGATAAAATCTACCGTTTTGGAGTTATCGACAATAAAAGTTCGAACTCATTCGCGTCGCGGAGGGTGAAGTTGAAATGAAATAAGGGACGACAAAGAACTGAATTATTACCAAAGTTCAGCAGGAGACGAGGAAAGAAATAAGTGCTCAGTACTAAATAAGAAGTAAACGAGATATACCTCGATATGGGTGACAGAACTAATTTCAAATTGAAACCTCGAATGGGCCATTTGCATTTCAAGCCCAACCCTTAGTTTCTAATAAAAATTTCCTAAATAGTTCCATTAAGGTGTAAATATACATGCTTAATTCGAACATAACATGGAAATTTTGATAAAATCTATAATTTTGGAATTATCGACAATACAATTTCCGACTCATTCGCGTCGCGGTGTGTGAAGTTGAAATTAATTCTACACTTGATTTCAAATAATCAAAAGATAGGAACTGGTAGTCACTTGTATAGTAAATAGTGACATTAGTCCGGTTTAAACTACACTCTTCGAATATGCACCAAGAATTTGTCCATTTCTGTTTTAGTTTTGTTTTGTTTGATTGTGAGGTTTTCCATCTTTGCACGAAATGTTTTATATTTCTTTTATGTCCAGCGAAAAGAACAAAAAGAAGAATTGAAAAAATATAGATTAAAATTTTCAAAGAAATTTCATAAAAATAGAAAAGATGTAAAAAAAAACGTTATACAGCTTATATATCTATTTCACTATAATTTGGCACAAGGTCTTATACAAAGTGTTCGCAGTAGGGAAAATGCTACAGGCGTAATGTCGTAAAGAAGCCCAATAACTATTGTATTTAACGCCATATATTAGGTTACATCATAAAAAAAATCTCGTTTTCTTTGTCAAGTTTAGCACAATAAAAAATAAAATAAAATTATATTAGACCTTCAAAAGGTGCAATTACAGCTTCAGAAAGTAAAGTCCAGGTACATTTATTCAATTACACGTTCGCCATTATTAGCACTGGCTTTTTTGCCACTTATTTTGTAGCTCTTCGATACTTTTTCAATAAAAAAAAATCCACAGGTTTTGACGTGAAAAGTTTTCCGACAAACACCTAAATCTGGTTTTCTTTTGAGAATATTTTCCCAATCAAAGCGTTTTGCAGCGAACGAAAAATGTAAGCTTCGTTTGCTGCAAGGTCAGGTAAATATATTTGGTTGGGTTGAAGAAACCAACCGAGTTCCAAAATTTGTTTTATGTTATCCTTGCTGTATGCAGTCAATACGCTGTCATTGAGGAAAACAATATATTTCCTTTTGCCAAGTGCAGGACTCTTTTCGACGAAACTGCTATAGACAGGTTGCATCTGCTGGATTAATAAATGTGCATTTAGGTCATACACTCTTTTATAAGCATTCTAGTCGAATCATACCACAATCATTCCATCGTGAACAAAGTATTTTTTCCATGGAGTTCACTTTTGGGCTTGGTTTTGGATCTTACCAAGTCACTAATTTTTAACTTACCAGTGTCGTGTGTTAGTCTACTCAATATTTATTGTTAATTACCACATATGATTAGTAGTTAAGATGCTATACCACAATTGGTTACCTAAAACGTATGACTCAACCTAATATAAAATTTTTCCCGAAAAGAATTACTCTGAAGTCGCTTTGCCCCTTATACACAAATTTGAAACATCCGAAAGCTATACCATTGCGATAGCTTTACACTGAAAATATTTCTAAATAAGAAAGAAAAACTGTAAATGAACAACTTAAATACATCATACTTATTATAAAACCCATGTTGTGTGTGTGTCTGTACGTTTATATATTGGATCGGATTTCCTACATTTTTCAACTGATTTCAACAAAACTTCACAGGACTATGTAAAATTGCCTTGCGGTGATTCTGACAGCGCCAAAAATTGGAAAAACACAATTATTTTTGCCCGAAATCAATTTGAAAACACGATTAAGAGGCATCGCGAGAATGAAAGGAGGACAACTCATATCGAGTTATACTTATTATAAAACCCATGTTGTGTGTGTGTATGTGTTCGTTTATATATGGGATCAGATTTCCTACATTTTTCAACCGATTTCAACAAAACTTCACTTTTTTTTGGCAAGTAGTGTTTCTTATTGTCTTGCACACTTTTTTCTTTATTTTTACATTCAAAATGCTTTAAAAATTCCATTTACAAGATAATTGCTTATAATAAAATTCTATTTAATCGATAGGCTCATAACGATTGAAAACAATGTTTTTGTTTGAGTTTGGGTTTGACCAATTCAAAAAAAAAAAAAACGAATTAAGACATGCATGTCCGTCAACCTTAAACAATGATCTGTGTCAATTTTATTTTTCAGTCTTTATGATGGTCGATACTTGATCTATCTCTTACTGTTATATCCCCGGGCAACGCCGGGCTCTACTGCTAGTCATTTATATAGATAAAGGCCTTTGTAAGGTTTGATTTGTGAGCATGTTTTTTTTGTTTTTCTTTAAGGCATTTAAGGGATGGGAGCATTTTCAATCAAACTGAGGTCTTCAGTCGCAAGTAACATTGTAATATAATTTAGAAAGTTGCGTGGCGCGGTTTCTGAGACAGTGTTGTCGCTTTCCCTTCTCTGTATTTTAGCCGCTAGTCCTTGGGAAAACAATCGGTTAGGTTCCCCCCCCCCTGCCACCATTGCCAGCCTCGACACGACTTTGCTGTATTCTACAACATGTTTTTTTTTGTTATCAGGTTTGATATCTTTAAAATATCTCTTCTGTCTCCCAATGTGATAACGGACATTTCTGATATCCTTTTCCCAACGATTTTTGTCATCTATATCTCTACCGTATTTTCCTCATTCCAGTGCAGTTCATTGGTTGATATAGACGTTATGCGTACATGATCGCAATTCCTGACCATCTTTTCTAGAAAACCTCAGAACCATAATTCTGTATTTCACCCCTGACAGAAACAAAATGTCTGAGATAAAACAATGGTCAGAGAATGCCTCACCCAGGAGTAATTGTTAAAACTTCACAACTTTACTGTGAACGGACATGTCTTTCTATTTTTTGTAATTTCATTTGGCTAAGATTATTAGTATTTCCTTTGTAATACTGTTGTATACCCATTTTCTTCCAGGTTAAGATCAAAGGTGTTTGGCTAGATGAATGAAATATTAAGTGTAGCTGGAAATGAAGATTGTGCGGACAAGGAGAACAGGCAACGATTGACACTTAGCCTGGTGAGGTTAAGATTCATTCGACAAAGCAGCAATTTTAACAAAGTTAATCTGAGAAAATACCAACTTCGATTGCCCAGTCACAGACCATCGATTCTTATAATGCTATTGTATATTCTTACTACTGTAGTGAGGGCGAAAATCCTTTAATACTGCACATATTTATCCTTGTGTTTTACAGCTAGGGCTTTTGGAATCGCTGACATTTTCTGCATGTCCCAAATAAAGTACTTCCTCGATGTTCCGGAAATCGGTTATCCGGAATTTGATTATCCAAATGAAGAGAAAAATTGAAATCCATTCTAATATTTAATCTCGGACAAGCGTTTTGGAAATCAAGAAAAGCAACTTTCGATAAAAACTCTAATTCAAATAGGTTCAAGAAATTATTGTTAATTCCCTTGCCTTGTTGTTTTCATACAAAGAACATACACTTGGATTATCTCGAGGTATTAACACCAGAGATTATAGATTACGCAACTCAAGTTGGTTGTGCTTTCAACTAGAAATTACCCTTACAAATACATTTATTTTAGATCCTGCTTCGGTAGTTAGCGACAGAAAAACCTGAGACCAGCCGAAAAAAAGATAAAACCAGGTACATTTTTTCACGAAAAATAAACAAAACATTCTTTAACAAAGCATCCGAGTAATCGGGGAAGGGCTGAATACGTTTTTAATCATTTCATCCCCAAGCAAGGCATTAGAGCCCCTAAGACGAAGGTGTTTATTGTCTGTTAGAGAATATGAGAAACAAAAAAAATTATTAAGGATAGAAGCTAATAAAAGAACAAGACTGATGTATACAGAAGATAAAGATTGAGATTGAAAGACTAGCGAACAGGCTAGAGACGGAACAGCACCTTCCCCGTGTGCATTCATTTTTCTCTTGTTTTGTTTTTTTAATCATTATATCCCAAGCAAGACCACAGACACGAAGGGGAGTACTGCGTGTGAAATACTGAGAAACACATTAACAAGCAAGAACAATGAATACAGAACAAAGATAACGGGTGATATTGCAATGATAATTTTAAAGATCAAAGCTGACTGGAAAGCAAGAAGCCGAACGAGATTTCGACAAGCAGGAAAAGAAACTTAAATATAGAACTTACGGTTACCTATTTACTCATTTCAACTGTAAAATAACAACTTGCCACCGATTTAGTAGTCCGTTTAAATGTGTAAAGTTTAGGTACCACAGAGGAAATTTAATCAGAACAATAACCATGAAAGTATTTTTTAGAAAGGGCCCAGGGAAACTACGTTACAACAGTGAGACGAGACTGAAACCGAGATGTTAGGTCAGAGCCAATAACATCGCAGATGCTTTTTTGGAGTTTATCAAGAATCTATAAACATATCCCAAGAGTAAAAGATCAGATGGGGAACGCAATATTTAAAAAAAAAAAAAAAAAAAAAACAAGGATGAAAGATAGAATTATCAGTCAGTTTCGTGCCATGCGTGATATGCGCTTAGGCGATCACGTATCTTTCGATACGATAGATCGTTTCGAAAAGATACGTGTTCATAGGTACGGTATATGACAGAAAGATAAATATATGTGTTCATAGGTACGGTATATAAAAGAAAGAAAGAAAGAAAGAAAGAAAGAAAGAATGTGACGCGGAACGACATATAATACAAGAAAGAAAGAAAAAGAAAGAAAGAAAGTGCTGTAACCTAGAAAGGGTTATTGAATGATGAATAACCAAAATAGAGGTTGGAAATGAAATGGTATTCTTTATAACATCAACAAAATACAATACTCACCAGTGGCGTGAAGTAGGTAAACCACTGCTAGTGGTGGACTACTTAGACAGCATATTACCCCCACTTGCATTAGTGTCCAACCGATTTATTGACCATGTTCACCATAGTTTATGAATATAGAATACAGCGCAGTACGTAATCTGTTCAATGAAACAACGTTAAAGATTAATACTCTTGAGTCAGATATTTTACTGAATCTGACTATATCGCTAATACCACCAGCAGCTGTTCCGTAATTCTTCTGTCTTCGATATCAAAGGCTGGCAGTGCATATTCGGGAAAAAAAAAATGGCCACCTTTATACACGTCGCATTGAATATTTTCAGACTTCTGATTGGTTAACCCTTCTATAGGAGAACTATAAAATGAGTCAGCTCATTTTGGCTGGCTCACTAGTACACCAAGGTACCCAAAAATTCCAGGATTGGAACATACCCGTTAGTGTTTATAGATACATAGGTATATAACAGTTATCTATCTTCATCCTCATAATGTTCATTTCCTATTCTCTTCATTTCCATTCACATCACCTATATCTTATTTAACAGAAACCCTCTTAACTGTGTGGTTCCCGAAACCGGTAATGGGAGGCTTTTACTATTAAAGAATAAATACATATAATCACCTGTTCAAAACACCAAAGGGGAGTGTGAACCGGACGATAGGCGAATCTATCTACTCCTATTGCGAAAAAAAGTAAATCATAAAGAAATTTTCGGAGGCAGAGTAGAGTAAGGATAGCGGCACGGATTGAAGAATCGGAGAGCCGAGTTCGAATTCCAGTCGAATCCATTACATTCACTTACGTGCTAATACCCTTGGGAAAGGTATGAATCCTCTCTTTCTACCCCCGCCCCCTACAGTTATGGGTAAATAGCAGGAGAGAACGGGTTCTATAGCCTTGGATGGCAATTGGTCTCCAGCAGGATGAATGTGCAACCTACTGCTTGAAAAAAAAAAAAAAAAAAAAAACTGCCTCGTCAGTCATGTATCGAAATATACATGATCGCCTACGCGTTTATCGCGCATGGCACATAACTGACTTACTGAAAGAAAATTTCAGTGTTTTAGGCGCAAACGTTAGAAGTATTGAGCTGAAGTAGACTTTAAAACGAACCGGAAACCTAAGCAGGATACAAGGCCTAAAGCTCTACTCCTGTTCAAAAGAGCGAGGAGGTGTTTGAACCGGACGATAGGTGAATCTATCTACTCCTATTGAGGAAAAATAAACAAGCAAATGTTAAATAATATTTGAGAATTTTAGCGAAGATTATATAGATTAGTCTTACGCTATTGTGCTCGTCTGAAAATTCATTTACTTATCTGGCGTGTTTAACAGTTCTAGTAGAAGGATTGGAGCCAGTAGTTTGACCCAGTGATTGAGCATCCTACGGGACCTGACCTAGTAGTCTGCCTCCCCAGTGAACCTTTGTATATTTCTAGACTACCTGATTCAGTGTCTCACTGCCTGTTCTAAGGCTACGAAGCATACGGATCTACCTTTTCATTTTGTTGTCTGTTGCGATACGAATTGATCTAGTGATTATTTGAATATCCGGCGTGAATTGGCTGACTGTTGTTCTTCTCACTTGAGACGATGTTATAGATTTACACTAACTGACCCAGTGATTGCATCGGGGTCCCATCGGAACACAGCCCGGCGGATAAACGTGATGGTAAAATTTGTTTAGTTCCCCGGAATTCGTGTCATTAATTACTGCGTTAGGAACGGATATTTACGGATGTAGATATTTATAGATATTTACGAAGTGCTGAAAAGTTCTTAGGCCGAGCAATGAGAAATTTTGACGGTTTTCTTGATCCGGCCGATAAATTCTCAACCTAAATGTTTGTTCAATACTGCAGATGCCTTAATCTTTCAAGTTTCAGAAATGAATGCTAGTTTGAGTCGCATCAAAGGTTAATTCTTATTGTTCGACCAACCTTACATACTAAAAGTTGTTTTTTGTTTATATATCCGTTCGCCCGATACTTGATTGAGAGCCTGTCAAGCTAGAAGACTTCTGTTAAAATTGTTAAGATCAAAGGTGTTTGGCTATATGAATGAAATATTAAGTAGCTGGAAATGAAGATTGTGAGGACAAGGAGGATAGACAACGATTAACACTTGACTTGGTGAGTCAGTCAAGCTAGAATACTTTTGTTAAAATTGTTAAGATCAAAGGTGTTTGGCTAGATGAATGAAATATTAAGTAGCTGAAAATGAAGATTGTGAGGACAAGTAGGAGGACAAGGAGGATAGAAGACAACTGTTAAAATTGACAAAGGTGTTTGGCTGAATGAAATATTAAGTAGCTGAAAACCTGAGGACAAGGAGGTTAACATTCATTCGACAAAGCAGCAGTTTTAACAAATATATTTATCAGATACGGAACTTACATCTTACATTTAGAACGCTGTGGAAATGAAGTTTACTCGATTCCGTAACAGTAGTAAGGTATTTTTTGGTGCTAGATGTACTCGTGTAATGAAAGAATATAGCTCATTTGAACATTTGTCGTCACAACGATTCAGTTGTTTTGCCCTCAAGCCTGCATTACGTGCTTCATCGACAATTACCCGGAACGTCAACAGAGACAAAATATCGTACTCCTATGTTGAGGAAGTTTTTTTTTTAAATCAATATATCCAAAGCAAGGCAACAAAGTCACTAACACGCAGCAAATGAAATCAAACCAAACCAATTTTCTTATTCTTCTGAGTGGAATTCATCTTTTTCCAAGTTGCATTGACCTACTTCTTCTTCTAAGTAGCATTCATCTTCTTCTTCTAAGTAGCATTCATCTTCTTCTTTTAAGTCGCATTCATTTTCAGTTTCTTCTAAGTCGCATTCATCTTCTTGTAAGTAGCATTCATCTTTTAAGTCGCATTCATTTTCTCTCTCTTCTAAGTCGCATTCATCATCTAAGTAGCATTGGCCTACTTTTAAGTCGCATTCATTTTCTGTTTCTTCTAAGTCTCATTCATCTTCTTTAAAGTCGCATTCATATTCTTCTTGTAAGTCACATTCATCTTCTTCTAAGTAGCATTCATCTTTTAAGTCGTATTCATTTTCTCTCACTCCTAAGTGGCATTCATCTTATTATTATTCTTACTCTAACCAGCATTCATCATCATCATCATCATCTTTTTTTTCTTCTTCTTCTTCTTCTTCTTCTAAGTCGCATTGATCTTCTTTTTAGTCTCTTCATCTTCTTCTTCTCTCGCTCATTGTTCTTCGTCTTCTGAGTCTCCTTCATCTTCTAAATCGCACTGATCTTCTTCCAATTCTTCATCTTCTACTAATCTCCTTCATCCTTTTCTAAGTTTCATTCATCTTCTTCTAGTTTTTCTTCTAACTACCAATCATCTTCTAACTCGTATACATCTTCTTTTTCATTGCCTTTTCTTTTACACTTTTACTCCTACGAGACTGATATTATAGATACAATGATATATATATATATATATATATATATATATATAGAGAGAGAGAGAGAGAGAGAGAGAGAAAGATAGATGACTTGATACATAAGAAACAATGAAGGCTATATAGACTGATAGATCTGACATAATTAAGATAGAAAGGTATGACCTGATTACAATATATAGATAAATATGATCTGCTTAAGATAGATATGCTCTGATTACGACAGTTAGACAAGTAGATAGTTGTGATCTGATTTCGAGAGATAGATATGATGATCTGATTTCGAGAGATAAATAACATATAATTTAATAATACTCAGCTTCTTTTCATGTGTCAATTCTCGTCTGCAGATCTATTCCCTGTCTCTCTTCTCTTTCGTTGTCAGATTCTTCATCATTCCAAGTCTTCTTTGGTTCCCTTTTCCAATTTCACCCCCACCACACACACACAAGGCATCGTCAGGTGAATCAGTCAAGTGATCGCGAATTCATGACAGATTTTCCCGCCTTCCGCCAGCGCTGGTAGCATGAAAGGAAACACAGTTATGTTTGCCGGCACGGAAGTTGCGGGGCGGAGTTATTCCACGCCCCCAAAGCATTCTCGGAGACGTCCGAGCTGCTTTTGCTTCATCGTCTCACTCATATTGCACCCCGCCCTTTTTTCCTATCACTAAGGCCACAGAATGCGCCACGTAAACGATTATCTTGTTTGATCTCTGGTACCATACAAAGTGGAGAAGATCGCCTTTGAACTCTGCACAGGTTGAGAGTTTGGCCATAACGACTGCGGGTGTTTATTCACAATTCTAATCGGAAAAAAATATATATATATACTTCGGCAATATTTACTAGACAAATAGATATGAACAGACAGAGAGACAGACAGACAGACAGACAGATAGATAGATAGATAGATAGATAGATAGATAGATACGAACAGAATGAGATAGATAGATAGATAGATAGATAGATAGATAGATAGATTTGATCACGCTTCGACACATTTTTGAAAAACAAAAAGAAAAGGAAAAAGAATATGAAAAGTATGCTATATTAGACACAAAGCAGATTGAAATAGATAGATTGACAGATAGATAGATATGAACATAGATAGATAGATAGATACGAACAGACTGAGATAGATAGATAGATAGATAGATAGATTAGAGCACGCTTAAACATTTTTTATAAAACAAACAGAAAAGGAAAGAAAGAATATGAAAAATATACCGTGCTATATTAGACACAAAGTAAATTGAAATAGATAGATAGATAGATAGATAGATAGATAGATAGATAGATAGATGAACAGATAGATAGATAGATACGAACAGACTGAGATAGATAGATAGATAGATAGATAGATAGATAGATAGATAGATAGATATGAACAGACTGAGATAGATAGAAAGATAGATATATATGAACAGAGTTAGATAGATAGATAGATAGATAGATACGAACAGACTGAGATAGATAGATAAATAGATAGATAATTGTCCGAAAGTCTTGTCAACCCTAGATAACATAATTTTCTATTTCAGGTGACAGACACGATCACTTACAGTTCAGAAAAGGGGGTTAAGGTGGCTATATAATTCACAGACCGGCATAGATAGATAATAAACGTAGACGTAGACAGATAAATGAATAGATAGACAGTCGAAAGTAACAAATAAATTAAATATCTTCCCTCTATCGATATGATTATAAGTGAAACGATTGCTACGAATATATATATATATATATATATCCGTTCCATATTTACCAATTTCCTCGATGTGCTGGTCACCCAGGCCGCATTTGTCAGAATGTCTTCAATGAAGAATTTCTGATTTTATTCGTTTTACCCTTAAATTGATTTTGTCTTTTCTTCGATGCTTTTTATCACAGCTTTCTTTTTTCTTTTTCTACCTGTCTTAAAATGATTGTCGGACTTTGTCCATTTCATAATGTGTTACGTCATTTGTTTACATTTGGATACGCCATGAGCAGATATGAATGTACAGGAGAGAATGATGGAAGATTGTAGTTTAAAGACACTAAAATCGACCTTGTTAACCGAACGCTCCTCTGTGGCCGAATAGGTTAAAGGCACGTCAGGCTATATGGCGGTTCCGTATAGGATACACGTTCGATTCCTGTCGGACGACGAATATTATCTATTAAAATTTCTCGGACATTCAGGCCTGCAAATGTTGTTTATTATAAACAGAGCATTTACTTAAATATTTGTATCTATAAAAAAAATGTATAAACATAAAAATGTTTTATATATATTTTTAATATCATGTCTAATTGTTGGGGGTCATGGTTCTTCACATATCCCGGATAATTATTGTCTCCCGTTGCCTTCTTCATAGTTTTGATTTCAGAGCTGTCCCTTCTCCTAGACCGTCTACCACCCTTATCGAGAGAAACCGGCTCCGATATTTAACCCATAGGTGGAGTGAAATTGATGTAGTAAACGAGCGATTCTCAACATTTTCTTCGTTTTCGCACATTTTTATTGTAAAAAAATATTTCCGGATCACATGATCAGAAATAGGAATTCCATGTACCAGAAAATACATTTTATTTACAAAAGCAAAATGTCGTAGAAAATATAAATCATGTCTATAAAATATAAATTTTGGCCATGAAATATAAATCCGGTCTATAAAATATAAATTCTGGCCATGAAATATAAAGCCTGCGTATAAAATATAAATCCTGTCTATAAAATATAAATTCTGGCCATGAAATATAAAGCCTGCCTATAAAATATAAATCCTACCTATAAAATATAAATCCTGTCTATAAAATATAAATTCTGGCCATGAAATATAAAGCCTGCCTATAAAATATAAATCCTACCTATAAAATATAAATCCTGTCTATGAAATATAAATTCTGGCCATGAAATATAAAGCCTGCCTATAAAATATAAATCCTGTCTATAAAATATAAATTCTGGTCATGAAATATAAAACCTGCCTATAAAATATAAATCCTCTCTATAAAATATAAATTCTGGCCATAAAATATAAAGCCTATCTATAAAATATGAATCCTACCAATAAAATATAAATCCTGTCTATGAAATATAAATTCTGGCCATGAAATATAAATCCTCCCTAAAAAAAAAATAAATACTGCATATAAAATATAAAGCCTGCCTATAAAATATAAATCCTACCTATAAAATATGAATCCTGCCTATAAAATATAAATCCTGCCTATGAAATATAAATCCTGTCTAATGACCACACCGCTCCTGGTGTCTAATCAATCAGCTTCTTAAGTTGAACTTCCAAACCTCGGTTCAGCTTCAAATTTCTATGTCCCCCCACCCTTGTTGGCCTAAGGCATCATGTCGAGAATCACTGGCCTAAAGCCTTTCCCAAAGACATTTGTGGAAAAAGTGAACGTAATGATCTCGGGTTGGAATTCGAACTTACCAATTCCACTTTTCTTTACCCGCATACGCTGTTATTGTACCAAGATGCCGGGGACGTTCTTCGGTATCATACCTAAAACCTGTTTTAACAATCATTTCATTACACATCTGGATATACAGGGCGTCCATAAAGTTCGTGTGCACTTTAAAAAATTTATAATGTTATTTGTATTTGCAATAGAGATAATCTTTAAAAAAAATGTTATAAAGTTTAATGTACATAGTTTTAAGAATGGTTATTGAATAATTCTTTACCACAAAATTTGCAACAATTAGATAAGTAAAAAAATATTTTCTTTTTTCCTTTTTCTTGTATTGCTAATGATGGAGGACATGTGGAAACTTAAATAAAATTTCAATAAAACCTTAAAAAAATAAAGATTTACTTCTTTCTAATCCTTCTTACAAATTCTTTCTATCGCAAATACAAAAAAAGTTATAATTTTTTAAAAGTGCACATGAAATTTATGGACGCTCTGTATAGAAAGAAGACGTAACTCGAAAGAAAATACAAGTATGTGTAATATAATACTGAGGCGAGAGAGAAAAGATGTCCGTCAAACGAATCGTCCAAAGAATAAAGACGAGTGAAAAGGTGAGTGTCTTTAGATTTTGAATCTTTGCTTTGTCCAGTTGTGCGACAGTTGTGCAACAGTTGTACAGTAAAAAGATGTGGATGCAGAGCGATGTGTGGCACCATTTACCAAGGCAGAAAAAGAAAAGAAAGGAAAGAAAGAAAAAGAGAGGCGAAGACCCAAAGCGTGGATCATAAGCAGAACACCCACGGCTAAGAGACAATGGATAAAGGATATTTTGATAAATAACAAATGGCGAAGAGTGTCATTACAATGAAAAAAAATTCTGAGTGGATAAAGGAATCGGGTGTGTTCTGACGACGGGCTGTGTTATTGGGATACATAAACAAACCGCTAATGCGGGAAGGCATCTGATTAGCAAACCACAGACCGACTAGCCAAAGAAAAATCCAAATGAAAATGTTATTTTGATAAGTGACGAGAAACAGGTGGACCACAGGGCTTTGGATAGATATGAAAAATTAATTGTATCAAAAGCCGCACACGAGGTGGCCACTGACCGATTTCTTTCGACAGAACATCTTTAGCCTGCGATAATAAAACTGTGTTATCAGAAATGTGTACCGAAAAAAAATGAATGGGAACCTAGAAATGTTTCTTTCCGAGGCGACGGTCTGGCCGTGTTAAAAAGGCCACCCATTCTGATAATTAGCGATAAGATGACTGACGAAGCCCAGGTGAGAACAAGAGTTATGACCACCAGCGATCGTATTGTTCTGTTTGCGGCTAGAGAAAATGATAACTGCGAAAAAGGAAAAGAAAAAGATAATTTTTTTTGTTAAGCAAGATATTTTTTTTTCTGAAACAAAGCCGCGGGATCGTACACGCACGACTAGACATCATTGGTCAAGTGGTGATCACGTGACGCAAGGAGGACGCTGTCGCCGCCCATCTAGAGGATGGGTATGAAAGGTTGCTACGAAGAAGTGGGGAGGGCAGTTCACGCCCCTCTGAAGTATGGTGAGAAGGTGGGAGTAAGAGAAGGCTCCCAAAAATGGGAAAAAAAAGTGGAAAAAAAAGTGGAAAAAAAAGTGGAAAATTCCTAACCAGAATTCCTAACCAGAAATAAAAGAGGTGGATATGTATTTAGAATTATCGAGGACTCCCCGGCGCCGACAAACCCACCCCGGTTTTGGTCGGCGTCCATATAAGCGAGGTCGAAGTTCGCAGTGGAAGTTGGTTCCACCTCGCAGATAGCTGACTTGAAAGATTCACGCAAATTCCGGACTCCTCTTCAATCCAAGAACAATTAATTTGAAGAGCGACTTAGATCCAGACCACCAAAATAAGTTTTTTTTTTTTTTTTTCCGACTTTCGCCCGAAGACACACCGAAAAACCCATTTCTTAAAGAGCAAACAACTGGAAGCGTTAAAACTCGCCTAACGGAAAACAACGTGTCACAATCCATAGAACGGGTCGGGAAAATAGACGCAGTCCTATGTATCCAACAACTAGACATAAAGTTTATTATCCTTTTTTTTGATACCTTGAATTTTTGAGTTATCATTTTATTTTATTTTATGCATATTTGTGCGGTGTCGCCCCCGTTTGAACCCAATTTGCATTACGGTCCCAACTACTGATTGATCCCGTCTGATCAATTCACAACGTGGGTAGGCAGACTGGAGATCAGTGCAGTTACTTTGGTAACCAGGCGTTGGAAGCGAGTTGGGAACGACGAGCCTGATATCGAATCTAACCAGATTCCCATCCGAATCACAAAAAGGTTGGAACGTCACATTTGGGTGCCGCGACCGATACCAAGCCAGTTGGTCGTCACAGGACGAGACAACACGACTGACGCGACAGGCGGACGTCACGTTTGGAGCGGCGACACCCGAACGGAGCAGCGAGGAGCGAGCGAAGGCTGCGTTTAAGGACGTCGCAGCTGACGCCGCGACCAAAGGACGTCACAGGTGTAAGGGATAGCGGCTCGGATTGAGGAATCGTAAAACTGAGTTCGAATACTGGCCGAGTTCGTTACATTCGCTTACATGCAAACACGCTTGAGAAAGGCATGAATCAATCACTTTTCTCTGGGATAGACTGGGTCCTATAGCATTAGGGGAGGAGCAATGGGGAGAGTGGAAGGCAGCTTATGCCGGCGGCATCATGATATTGGGAAGCTTAGAAATGATACCAAAAAAAAAAAAAAAGGAAAAGGAGGTGTTAGTTCAAATCAAATGAGGAATGTATATTTTCAACACGCCCAAGTCGTTACCGAATCTGACACAAGGTCGAGGTTTATAGGTCACGTGATAAAACGTATACAAAACAAATTTTCCCTTTTAGGGGACGTGTTTAGGAAAAAACATGTTATAGAATCGGTTTTGTTATTTCGTTTATTTAGAATTTCTAAGGATGCAGTAAGAACATCATCATTATATAATCAATAAACAGTCGTCTTAAACTACAGGTATAGGATAAATTCATGAAGATTTGATTAATTTTTGACCTCGTCTTATTTAAAGGTCGCCTAATACACGATATATACGGTATATCTTTTAATTTCGACAAAATATCTGTCATTCTTAATGTGAATGATTAATTAATTTCGATGTATTTACTTTCATTTGTATATCTGAGATGAGAGAGGCTGTCAATTCAAGGCAATGAACAGACGTGATAAAAACAACATTAATTCTAATCTAAGCCTACATAGATAAAGAGCAAAGGTAAGGTTGTGGTAAAAACACATAATAGTTTAGATGAAAATAAATAGTCAAATAATAATGCAGTCCCTGCTGACTGCAATGTATCTTTGAAG